GCGCGCGGGGACTGGGACTGCGTGGGGGCGTGCCCCGCGCCCCGCCCGGCCAGCGCGCCGCGGGATGCACATGGGTGGCTGCACGCCGCCGCCGTTCGAACAGGAAATGCACGCTCAACCCGGGGTGGGGTCTTTTGTGTGGTCGTTCGGGGCGTCTCGCGGGAGCCCCGGGGCGCAGAGGCCACGGCGGGCGGCCCTGCACGCGTCGCCGGGCACAGGTCCTTGTGCCCCAGGCAGCGGGCACACGGGTTCCCGGGTTTGCACAAGCCCTGGGTCCAGAACCTGATGCCCGCGAACCCGGGATACAGTCTGTGGCCCAGTTCCCCCGGACGCGGGCAGTTGGGTTGGGCCAGTCCCCTGACACTGCCCTCTCTGCCCTCCGGTTTGCCTTTCCAGGTAGAGAAGGAGTCAGCGTAAAATGTGGGGTGGTGCGAGCCGGAGTTCCGATCGAGCCGCCTGACTTAAGAGGCTGCCAGGGAGAACGCCCTGAATGCACTCTGCCCTGAGGTGGGTGCCCCACACTCTTGGACAGGAACCCCCCCCTTCTGCAGCGCCTAGGAGCTGATCTCAGAAAGGGTGAGGGCGCTGCAGGCCAGAACCCAGTTCTCCTAAGAGACTGGCAGCACTCGTGACTGGCCCAGAGGTATGGGTTTCTAAATTCTTAAACTATCAAGGTTCCTAATGCTTACTGCAAAAGCAGCCCCCTCCTGCAGAATATTGTTACTGGAAATCCAGACTGAGATTCATTTAAAAAAGAAGTCTATGGGGACTTATGCCAGCAGCCCTTACTCAGAAGGAGGAGGTCAGTGGCCATTAGCTAGAGTGATCAATGCTGTTATAAGCATCAAAACCACAGCTAAACTCAAGCTAAGGAGCAGGGATACACATCGTCTAACCAGGAATGTCCAAGGTGACACTGAACACGCATACCTGTACCCGCTCATTTTCTTCATCTATAAAATGGGAAGGTTTGCCAAACCGAGGGATGGATAACCTTCTGTAGGTTAGAGATCAGAGGCTTTCCCAAGAAAAAGCTCCTGAGCTGTGAAACGTAGTGATCAACTCTGCAATGTCATCCGACTGTTATTCATGCCCAGGCCACTGGCCACGAAATCCACTGTGAGAACAGAAGGGACCTACAGGCAGGTCACGGCCTGGGCTTTCCAGGAAGGCAGAATGTGTGGCGGAGACCTTGTAAATAAAACAGGAGGCTTCTAAGCAGGGAGTCAGCAGGAGTGAATAAACAGGGATGTCAGTTTTACTGAGTGGATTTTAAAGTCTGTCTGAAATTTATACACCCACTGACATGATGGGAAAAAAATCCCAGTAGACTTGCTCTTAACTGAAACATTTCTAGTTTGAGTTTCCTTCTTCCCTTATATTTTTCACAATCACTCAAGGTTAACAAAAACAAAAAGCAAAAGAATACCCCCCTCACCTCCCTCTGCCCCCAAAGGTCTCAGCTTTTAAAAAGCTACCTTGATGGACTGAAATCTGTATCTGATGACCTCTTAGGGGCCACTCTACCCAGTAGGAAGCCTCTTCAAAGAGGGGGTGGGGCTGATAAAATGCTAACCATGCTTTCACTTCACTGTAATTGATCAAAACTGCAAGGGCACAGAGACACCCAAATAACACAATACATGGAGAGAGAGGTATGGAAGCAGGACTTTTCCTTGCAAGTCTCTCCCATTACATATCAGGAATGCAAGATTATTTAGACTTGTCTTTGAGCTGATTTCTTTTGAGAACTCTCAAAAGCTCAATTCTGTATTTAAGGAAGTAAAAAGTTTTCATTTATCATGGCTCAAAGAAGAGAAAGGGAAAGTGTTGATAAACAGAAGCTGTAGCTAACACAAACTTCCTTCCTTCCGTCATATCATTGCTGAGCTAGAAGGGGCCTCACCAGAGCCCCTCACTTCACAGGTGAGGAAGTGGAGGCCCAAAGAAAATTAGGAAGTACTCTCAAGCCCAGGGTCCCTTATATAACACCAACCAGAGACCCCCTCGGGGTCCTAGGCAATAACAGCAGATAATATTGACTAAGCTTGGTTGAAGGGCTAGACCTGGTGCTAAGTGTGCTGTAGACATTATCTCATTTACTCTTTTAAACAGCCCTATGACGTATGTACCGTTGGTCACCCATTTTACAGATGAGGAAACTGAGGCACATTGCTGCTAGGAAATGAAAGGACCTGGATCTGAACCCATAGGCAGTTGGAGCCTGGAGCTTGGGCTGTTAATCACGCCACTCCAATGCCTCATGCCAGAGACAAGAGACGAAGATGCCAAATGAGACCCATGTAATAAGCCAAGTGAAAAACTCAGAGTTATGTAGAAAAAAATTAACTGTCTCTTACAAAATTTTGCAAATTCTGTATTCTTGGTTCAAATTCAATTTCAAGGCAGGTATGGTTTTGGTAACCAAACTGCTGTCTGATTATCTGTCAGGGGCCAACTGTGGAAGTAGGAAGCCAGGATTAAGGCATGATGCTGCAGTGGGTTCTCTCCAAATGCTGAGAAGGCTCCCGCCAGCCACTATCCTAATACCTCTTAAAAATTTCTCTTCTGAGGCTTGGGAAGAGCTTCTTCCTCTACTTCCCACGAACAAGTTTCCTTTAGCTAACTGGTCCACAATTATCCATCATTTGTTTTCTATTAATAGTGTGCTGGACTGTATATATAAAATACATTATGCCAGCCCTCGCTCAGTAGACTTGCCACCTTAAAATTTAGTGTTGACATTGTGCCTTTGGCTCATCCTTTGTCCCTCTCGACTTCATCTCTGAGTGACCTTAAGAGCTAAACACTCCCAGCTCCACGTAGCCAAGGCTTACATTCTTAGAAGGAGCTCCCCAGAGCTGATGCCACCCGGGCAGTTGGTGCTTGCCCTGAGCCAAGAGGATCCAGAACTTTCACCAAGTGGTGAGGAAATAAGCAAAAACAGATGGAAGCCAAGTCCCCCTCAGTCAGAGTCGTTACCCACTTGCCTGGCTTCTCTGAGTGTCATTTAATTTTCTGGTCTATCGGATCATGAGACACCGGAAATGACCCTTATCTGCCGAGAGATTCTACCCAGACTTAGGCACCTAAGGGCGCTGCAGGCTGTCCCAGGGCAGGGATGGCAGTGAGCCAAGGTAGGGGAAGAGGGAAGCCGTCAGCTCCATCCCCACTTCCGGGAACAGGAAGGGAAAAGGGCAGACTGGGCAGTGCCCCTTGGATTCTAGGCTTCCCTAGGGTGAGGGTCTCTCTAGCATGTGGCCCCTTTCCTCTTACCTATGTCACAAAGGGCACGGCTAAAGCTTGGGGACATTATTTTCCAGAGGATTGGGGCAGGGACAGAGAATGGGTTTTGTGTGTCCAGACCAGTAACTAACTGGCTGGCATACTCCTGAACCAATGGACACCATTTGTAAATGTGCCCCTAAGGAGGGAACAGAAATGACAGAGCAGGCATGCAAAGGGTCCCTTCCTAATGCAAGTAATAATTTGTGCTTAACAAGCGATAGAGAATGCATGCTTCAGTTATTTTACTATTTGTCTCTCTGTTCTTCAATAGGTTGTTTTCCTCCTTAATGGCAAAAGGAGGTCTTTTGGAGAGTTATTTTCCTAATAAAATGTAAATAAGAGGAATTTTTGCATAGTGTGACATAGCAACTTAGGACTGATTCCAGGGTTGCCTGGAAAAAACTATGGTTCAAAGAGTGACTGAATGACAGACCAAGGGCTGCAGCAATTTCTGTTAAGGAAATTACTGATGTTATTTAATTGCTCCCTTGGAGAGGCATTCCACAAACATTTAAAAACCACGTGTAGGGGCCGCCCGTGGCTTAGCAGTTAAGCGCGCTCTGCTACTGGCGGCCCGGGGTTCGGATCCCGGGCGCGCACCAACGCACCGCTTCTCCGGCCATGCTGAGGCCGCGTCCCACATACAGCAACTAGAAGGATGTGCAGCTATGACATACAACTATCTACTGGGGCTTTGGGGAGAAAAATAAATAAATAAATAAAATTATAAAAAATAAAAAAAAATAAATACCACGTGTATTTGTCATATGGGTCCTTTAAACAGACCGAGGTTTCTGTTAAATGGGGTTCCTCTCTTAGTACGGTCTCCTTACACTACCAAAATCAACCAATAAATATTTACATTCACTGGAAGATTTGTGACTGTGCACAGGATTTTTAAAAAATTAACCAATTTAACAGGTGACTGGCATTGATCTGAGAATGTTTCTCCATCATCCACCCCATTTCCAACTAATTCGCTGACCTTAGAAAGTTACTTCCCTTCTCTATTCATTTCCCTACAAAAATTCAGGCTAAGGCTGAGTGCTCAGACAATTTGGATGAGACAAATGGGTTCACTTTACAACCCCCACCCCCCACTCCCGGCTCCGGAAAATATGAGGGGCTAAAAATACATAAAATGCCAGCAGAATTCCAGCCTATAACCAGGGCTTTCGTAATTTAAAAATATTTTTCTTAGCAAGACCAAATCTCCCCCTTCATTTCCTTCCTAACGAGAGCACCCATCACATTATCTATCCCACCATCCTCCAAAGAAAGACCTGGAGAAACAGGATATAAAGTTCTGTGGAACTTGGACTCAAAAGAAAAGATCAAATCCAAAGATTACTCAAAATGGGATGACAGAGCAGACAGTAAAGAGGCAAAATAGGAGTAAAATTATGTTCATCACTGATAGCAGCTCTTTTCACAATAGCCCAAATGTGGAAACAACCCAATTTCCATCCATTGAGGAATGAGTAAACATAATGTAGCATATCCATACAAGGGAATATTATTTGGCCATAAACAGGAATGAAGTATTGACACATGCTATAATGTGGATAAACCTTGAAAACATTATGCTAAGAAGCATAATATACATATACAAGAAGCCAGACACAAAAGGCCACATACTGTATGATTCCATTTATATGAAATGTCCAGAATAGCCAAATGCATAGAGACAGAAAGTAGATTAGTGGTTGCCAGGGGCTAGGGGACGAGGAAGCAGGGAATGGGCAGTGACTGCCAATGGGTACTAGGTTTCTTTTTGGAGTGATGAAAATATCTTGGAATTTAGATAGAGGTGATGGTTGCATAACATTGAGAATATACTAAATGCCACTTAATTGTTCAATTAAAAATGGTTAATTTTATGTTAGGTGAATTTTACCTTAATAAAAAAGCAGATTTTTTTTTTTTTGGTGAGGAAGATTAGCCCTGAGCTAACATCTGTTGCCAATCCTCCTCTTTTGCTGAGGAAGATTGGCCCTGAGCTAACATCTGCCCCTTTTCCTCTATTTTATATGTGGGATGCCTGTCACAGCATGGCTTGATAAGCGGTACATAGGTCTGCACCCGGGATCTGAACCCACAAACCCCAGGACCACCGAAGCGGAGCATGCGAACTTAATCGCTACGCCACGGGGCCAGCCCCTACAGATACTTTTTTTAATTTTTATTTTCATCAGCCATCACTTTAGAGTGATCTTAGTTCCTATTCCTGAAAGGTAACCTGGTTAGGAAACGCAGGCCCTAAACCCTGGGGCATGTTGAAACTAACCAAACCAAAGAGAGAGTTGAATCACCTCTCAAATGAGCTGCGAACAGTCACTGTGGGGGTCGGATAAGCTCTTCTGCTCAGGGACGCCTGACAAATGCAAGTGCACACAGATTGGTGTGGCTGGGAGTAGGGATCGAGGAACAGACACACACACACGCACACGCACACGCACACGCCCATACACACACACACATTCTTTGGCTGCTGCCATGTGCCTCTCTTCATTTACCATTCTTGCTTTTCTTTAAAAATGGCTCATCTCCAGCAGGTCAATTTGCCTCTAAAAGCCCCCTGGATCTATGAAAATCCATGAGTTTATCATGACACTCAAAACAGAAAAAGCCTGACAAAACTCATCCGTCACCATCTGAAGCAGCCATTTAATCAACTCCTTACTTTGAAAATTGGTATTTAAAGGGAAAGAATTGAGCATGTATGCTGCCTTTTCAGGAGGAACTGTATTTAATGGTAGCTCCAGCTAACGAGGGAAAGCTCTGCAAAAGAAACCCAGCTAATCCATACGGGAGGGATGATATACTCAAAGCTTCATTTTCATCTCCTGATAAAATTATTGATAGAGGAAAGAATAATCAACTGGTGTTGAGAGAAGCAGGGGGCCAACATACCCCCTTCCAAATTATTCTCTGGAGGAAAGAGGGACCAACATAACTGAATGGAGGAATCAGGCTGCCATCACCCTAATCCACTAACTATGATACTTAACCTTAATCTCACCAAGGCTTTAGATCTAATTTCCAATTTACAGAAATTATAAGAGGTAGGGAAAAAGCTAAATGACACCACAAAGGAAGCAATCAGACAAATGCATCAAGTGGGATATTCTGCAGGACACATGGTCCCATCTTCTCCAAATCATTGTCCTGAGAAATGTCTAGATTAGGGGCCAGCCCCGTGGCGTAGCAGTTAAGTGCGCGCGCTCCGCTGCTGGCGGCCTGGGTTCAGCTCCCGGACCCGCATCGACGCACTGCTTGTCAGCCCATACTGTGGCAGCGTCCCACATAATGTGGAGGAAGATTGGCGCGGATGTTAGCTCAGGGCTGATGTTTCTCACACACACAAAAAAAAGAGAAATGTCTAGATTAAAAGAATTAAGAACAGATTCAATGTGTGGTCCTGGATTGGATCCCGATTTGGACAAAGCAGCTGTAAAGGATAATTTGGGAAATCTGAATATGACCAGGCATTAGGTGGTATTAAGGAATTGTAAATTTTGTTAGGTATAATAACATTATTTTGGCTATGTAGAAAAATATTCTTCTTTTTTCAGAGATGCAAATCTAAGTTTTTAGGGGTGGAATGCCATGATATTTGTAATTTTCTAAAGAATACTTCAGTATAAAAAATAAAGTGAGTTAAAAGGAAATAACACCCACCACTTCATACCCATTAGGATGGTTATTATCAAAAAAACAGAAAATAACAAGTGTTGGCAAGGATGTGGAGAAATTGGAACATTTGTGCACTGTTGGTGGGAATATAAACTGGTGCAGCCATTATGGAAAATGGTATGGCATTTCCTCAAAAGATTAAACATAACAATTACCACATGATCCAGCAACTCCATTTCTGAGTATATACCCAAAAGAACTGAACGCAAGGACTTGAAAAGATGTTTACACACCCACGTTCATAACAGTATTATTTACAATTGCCAAAGATGGAAGCAACCCAAGTGTCCATCAACAGATGGATGGATAAACAAAATGTGGTCTATCCATACAATGGAATACT